TATATATCACGTGCTTCAGTAAGGCTCAAGCATCACACTTAAACACTGTACTCTCTAAGAAACATGGTATTTTCATAATGTCACGATGCTGGAGACACAAAAAGCATGAATATGTTTAGTGAAGGAAGCTGTAAAAAATGTTAACTGCTCATCACCCACTATAAAAGAAATTTAGTAGTAATGTCTGTAACTGAGAAAACAAGACATTGCATTATGGGAACGTTATTAAGGTAAATGCTAATAAATATCCAATAACTTCTAGCAGATTTTAAACTGGCTTTTAGCCAACAAAATGGTTAGTAGGAACTAATATTTTTGGAATTATCCTTTCATAATTATTTAAATTTAAACAGGAACCTTAATATTTTTGTACCACAATCATTCCAGTGAATTATTTTTTATAGTCCTGAGAAGACCTTTCTTTGGTTTTGCCTGTGTACCCAAGGCTGGAGATGTGCAATTTGTCCCGAAGTTACAAACGCTGCCACCAGGTGGCAGGAGTGAGTTATAGCTGACCTGCGGATTTTCAGTTCTGCTTTGTCTGTAATGGTGTCACCAGATTCTGCGTTTGAGTCTGCCCTAGTCAAAATTTGTTCAGGTACTTCGAAGATGTGGAGGGCATACTCACCTCACAAGGTCCTAGATGTCACATGTGTATGGAAGAAACTAATGTATGACAGACAGAATTGGAATTGAATAAAAACACAGAAGTTCACTAATGTGGTAAAAGCGATATGAAATTTAAGTAAATGTAAAGTCTTGCATGTAGTTTCAAAACTTATGTGAGTAGAAGTCTTCCTGAAGGCAAGAAGATACCGGGGGAAGTCACTGACAGGAATTCAGATACATGGATTCTGACCTCAACTCTTTGGTGACCAGCTTTGTTACATTTAAAACTCCTCATGGTTGTAGAAGATTCAAAATTATCTTAAGAAGGTAAAAGATACCCCTAATTCCATGATCAAGAAATGCCCATTGGTAATATTTTGATATATGTATGCCATTTCTGCTTTATTTCTAGGCACATATGTATGAGGATATATTTTTAATTTTACATTATTCTGCATATTTAGTTCCTCAGAAGTTTCTTTGTAAGTTATGACATGAGCATTTTGCTATTCAGATCACAACACTATTTGCACACCCCAGCAAAACAGTTTTCCTGAATACCTCATCCCTGGAAGGCCCCAGCCTCATTTTTCTAAATACTTTGTTCCTAGTTTATTATTTGCTTTCCAATTTTTTTTTTTAAGGCAAGCTCTCTCCATGTAGTTCAGGCTGGCCTTGAACTAAGTACGTAGCCCATGCTGGCCTAGAACTCACAGCTATTCTCCTGCCTCAGCCTCCCACATCCTGGGATTATAGGTGTGCACCACCATGCCTCACTGCCTTGCAATTATTTTGTCTTTCACAAACTCAGGCTAAACACACGCACGCACACACAGAAAGACAACAAATTCCTCCCCTACTTATGGAAATATGTAGTAATTATTTTGTTGTCCTAGCATTTACAAACACATGTGTCACAGGAATAAGGATCTTAGTTTCTACTTCAAAAATCTTTTTCCAGCTCTAGGGATAGGGCCAAATACTTGGTCTTAGGTTGAAACCAAAATACAGGCAGAAGACTCAAGTAGTGGCTCATCTCAGACTTCTCTGAGAGCTGCACTTTTTGTCTCAGTACTTGTACTATCATTTTTAATCTCTAACCTCCACTTCAACCTTATCTTTTCAACTATCCAGGTCCAGCAGTCATACACCTTTGGGAAAGATAACAATAAATACAAATGTATGAGGCTCATGTTGACTCGCTACAGAACAAATTGTGGATCTCCCATTCTAGTTAAGTGAAAACACCTCCACTTAACTTTTAATTAGTATTATGATCTATTTGTGTTACCATTTTCTGGGAAATTTGAATGTACTCTAAACTTTTAATACCTGTCTAAAATATATATTTCATGGCCAGGGATTTAGCTCAGTGGTTCTGGCACCTGCCTCGCAAGCACAAAGTCCCAAGTTCAATCCCTGGTACTAAAAAAATTAAAATAAAAAAATAAAATAAAATATATAACTCATGCACATTTATGTATGGTAACATTAGTGTACATTTTAAAGGTCTTTATATAGAAAAAACCATAATAATTCAATAAAGATACTTATTTTCTGTTTTGATTTTTAAATTTTATATCTGCCAATACTCTTCAATCATAATTTTACAGGTATGCAAATATTCACAGCTATGCTTTTATATGAAATCCATTTTTATTTGTATTTTTGAAAGTTTTAATGTCAATGAGAAATTATATACACATATTTTAAATATCCATCCTTATTAATTTAATAATATCTACATTATGCCTCATTTTCTGGTTTGCATTTGATGTCTTCCCTACAGTAAACTTTTTAATATGTTTAATATGTTGTCACTTTGTATCACTTATAAGAAATTTTAAATTTATTTTGTCATTTTATTTAGATACAAATTTTACAAGTTTTTCATTTTTATCACATAAAAACTACATATCATTTCCATGTAAAAATATAAAATACATAAGACATCTGTAAATTTAATTCTTTTGGGTGAAAAATAGATACCTCTGAGGAGGACCTTTAAGTTAATTAAAAGGTAAAAACTAAATTCTAATCAAAAGCACATGAACCTGTCATGCTAAGTACCATTCCCACAGTCATGATGACTTTTAGGAAGTAGTAATTTTTTCCTTATCATTATTTTACCAATGCCTTGGCACAGTTATGCTGCATGCTTCTCTGAATTGAGCAGAGCAGCACTGCTATTTAATCATCCTCAAGAAAAAGGAGTACTTGTAGAGTGTCTTCAGCCATGTAACCTGATGCAGCCATCATGGAAAACACTATTAAGTTTCCTCAAAAAATTAAAAATAAGGGGCTGGGGACTTAGCTCAGTGGTTTTGCTGCCTGCTGCGCAAGCACAAGGACCCAAGTTCAATCCCTGGTACCAAAAAAAAAAAAAACCTTATGCAAAAAATTAAAAATAAGGCTACCACACAATTCAGCAGTTCCATTTCTGGATATATATGTGAAAGAAATGAAATCAATTTTGTAGAGAAATACCTGCACCTCTGTAGAGAAATACCTGCACCTCTGTGTTCATTGTAGCACTGTTCACAATGGCCAACATACAGAAACAACCTGTCTACTGGTGCACGAGTGGATGAAGAAAATGTGATCTGAGCTACTGTAGTAACCTCTTTATAAGTCCTCTTATAGCAGTTCTTATCTTTCAAACTTGTTCTATACACTGCAGCCTTTCAAAAAGTTCCAAATGCATTTAGAATATATATGGACACAAAAAGATAACACAAGTTAATATATTTCTTAAATACATTTGAATTTCTTTTTAAGGCTGTAGTGTGTAGGACAGGTCTGAAATAAGCAAGGCTTGATACCCAGAGTCCCATAGAGATGTTACTAGAGTAATCCAGGCCCAAGATAATGTTATCTTAGGCCCATGTGATGGCAGTGGAGATAAAGAACCCTGAATAGAAAACCTAAGCAGGTTTTTGTGGATAAAATTCACAGAAATCAGTGAGAAGGGGCAGAGAATATTTTTAAGGAGCACAAGGAATAGAACAGTGGCTGAGAGTGTGGACTGTAAAACATGAATACGAGGTTTCCAAACCCAAGTCTACCAATTTTAGGTTCTGTGACCCTGGGCAATTCGCTTGACTTTTCTGACTCATATCTTCCTAGAAAAACTTGGTATGATAATATTTCCACCTCGTTGTGTTGTAGAAATAAATAAATTAATGCTTATCAGATTTTAATTTAGACAGTATGCTTATGAAATACTAAGGACATTTAAAGTGCTTGTTATTATGGTGATATCATTAGAGAACTAGATTTGACAAAGGAAGTCAAGAGTTTGACTTTGAACATTTTTGTGTTAGAGGTTTATTGAAAACAGTGGATATATGGATCTAGGAGAAGGAATCTAAGCTATAGAAAGGAATTTTACAGTTTGGTATGTCTACAATCACTAAATCTACAAAAATACGAGTTTTTAAGGAGAAATACTGGAGTAAGAAGACACAAGTGCCCAAGATGGAGTTTCAAAGAAAATCCAGTTTTAAGGAAGGATTTAAAAAAAAAAAAAAAAGGAACTGGCAAGGAAGACAGGAGAACAGGAGAACAGTCAGAGATACAGGAAAAAGACCAAAAGAGTGAGATACAACAGAAACCCAAGACTTGCAATGAGAAGAAGTGATTGAGTCTTTTGGGTACTGATGAGAGATTTGCGAAGTTGAACCTGAAAAGTACCTATTATTGGGTGTAGAAATGTGGAGGTTGATAATCATAGGAAGTACCTTTTCGGTAAAATGGTGAGACAGAAGTCAGGCTGAATTAGTTAAGAAAATGGAGTCAGTGAATGTAGACCTGAGTAATTTGACTATGAAAATGGAGGTAAGATAGGACAGTAGTTAATTGAGAATAAAGTTAAGAAAGCCTTTCTGTTTTTTGTAAAGCTACCTTGGAAATGAGTACATGCTGATGACAACCATAATAGTCTATGATGGAAAGTTTCTGAGAGGGCCCCAAAGAATGGAGTCCAAAAACAAGAGATTGAGGAAGAGACTTTGACTCCACTCTGTCTGTGGAGAAGAAGAGTGGCAGATGCAGAGAGGTCTCTACACTTTATGGAGATACCATTGTCTGCTGGCTTCTACTCACTCTGTGAAGCAGGCACCATAGATACCTATGAAGAGTAAGGAGGAGCCATGGAGAAAATTACAATAATTTAGTCAGAGAAACATGGAAGGGAGGAGCAGCAACATAGTGTTTGTGATCATCAAAGTGGGGAAGCCAACTGCTCTGCTGTGCACATGATTTTCACCAACATCAGTTGGCTGTTCAGGAGCACACAGAGTATGGAGACAGCAAATGCCTGGGTGTATCAAAAGCTGTAATCTTAGCAAAAGCTGGATAGGACAATGGAAGTCTCTCACTTAATATTGTGAAATAGATATCGAGAAATCACCACTCAGAGACCTGACATCTGTCCTCTAGACTTGGACTAAAAAAGGTCAAGGGATTAGTATTTGACACTGTCTTGAAAAATTAGAAAGTTAAGTGTCATGGATGAATATCCTGACCCATGGAGTTTCAGTTCTATTTTCATGACAATGGTATTTGTTTCCAATGGAACAGATGTAGGGAACACGTGGGAAGAGTGGCATTTGTCACTGGGTTGACAACTTCTTCCATGAAAGCTCTGTGATAGAATAAGCTAATCATACCATAAAGAGATCAGGTTGACTATCACATACAGAAAACATGAGTGAGTCTAAAGCAAGCAGTTGAAAGAAATCCTTCACCTGCACAGAAGGAGCAACAACCTGATGTTCTTATCTGGTGATAGGAGCCCATAAAAAACCCATAACAGAGTTCACCAAATGACGAGATCTAAATTTAATAACCTCCCACATACCCTATCTTGGGAAACCAACACAACATTCTCACTGCTAGTTTTGACCACAAACACAGCTGTTTTCATAGTACATTTTCTTTCTGAACAGGACCCCATCACAGGGAAAAAGTACCGATCGAAGAAGGACCACATGCTGTGCAAACTTATGTGTCTCTGCATTGCTTACTCTTCCACCATTGGTGGCCTGACCACCATCACTGGCACCTCTACCAACTTGATCTTCAACGAGCACTTCAACACGTAAGTGAGATCACTAGACTTGTGACAACTCGACAGCACTTATAGGAGGAAAGTTATTCTTCCCTGATTCAGAGAGTACAAGGGCAGAGAGGCTCTGCTTGCTTAATTCATCCTTGCTTCCTTCAGCACATCCAGAGGTCTAGAGATTTTTCTTCAGAGTAAAGTTAAAAATGCAGGACCCATTGAATAAATGTGCCTGTTGATTCCACAGGCTGGCTGAGATGAAAACCCTCCTGGCTCACCCCTCTCATCAGAAGGGCAATACAAGTTTCATCACAAATAATTTTATAAATGACAGTTGGCTAGAGTGAAAAGGGATTATTTGCATTGGACAATTTATGTAAAGCTTAGGAACTAGACTTTGAACTTAAATAATGAAGGTAGAGCAGAGGCCCTTATTATAAAAGATTTGGTTTTGGAATTCAAAAAAATTTGAAAGATTGAGCAGTTACAAGAAATGGCAGTAGTAAAGTATTCTACAGACATATGTGACTCTAAATATAAGTTTGAAACTGTGATCCCAATCCATTACAAAAAAAAAAGAGAAATCTGTGGATTCAGCAAACATAGTACTTTGGTTAAAAATGACACAATTTATACTTTGTGAATTTGAACTAGAAAAAGTACATTTTTCTTGCAAGATATGATTTTTCATATCTAAAATAGTCATGGTTTGTAGGATTATTGTGACAAATGCATACATGATTTGAAAATATTTTTCATGATGTAAGAATTATTCAGAGAATTGTTTGAAAGTCTGTGTTTCTTTTGAGAATTTGGATGGATTCTGCAGCCAACATACGTTTCAAGCAATAAGAGGACACATAATTGTTAGTTTTAAGAAGGTGAACAACATTGAGAAAGCCCAGGAAGAGGAGTTAGTCTTTTTCTCTGAAAAATTAAGGTTCAGAAGGAGTAAAACTACATTCTAGGAAGCAGATTCACAGACTCTATGATCTTCCTGAAAAATTTACAAAGTGTTGTGTATGTATGCATCATTTCTTCAGGAAATCCAAGACTTAAAGAATGTCGATCCACAGTTTAAAATGAATGGGAATTTGTATACAAAAAACACAGATATGGAACTTTAGATACAGTGTCACTCCATATCTACTCACTGTTTCAATACATATGCATCTTTCATGTACACTGCAAAAAGCAATCAAGAAGAAACCCTTGAAAGACAGTTTGTCTACAAGTGTAAGTTTTCTGAAACTGTAAGTCTTAAAGTGAATATATTCAGTGTGTAGACTAATCCAAGATAGAAAACATACCTGACCCCTTTCTGAAAGCTAGACTCCTATCCTTGTTCATGAATCCCCCTTTAAAAGAGATTCCATGACTCAGTCTTCTCTACCTAACATTTAAACCAAATTCTTATTGTTTTATTCTTGTTAGAAAGTTGCTAGTTTAAATTATTCTAGTGAAATATCTTGATACAATTGAAGTAATCCATATTGAGTCTGTCTTTGGTCTTTGTGTTCCTGCACAAGGAATCAACCAATTTTTTTCTTTTAATTTTTTTCTTTAGTCTTTGAATGCATTAATCCATTTATAATGACAGATTGAGAGTATCATAGCACTTGAGATAATGAGGCAAAAACTCAGAGAATTAGGAAAAGCCTCAAAGAGTCCCTTTTTGGTAGAAAATTATATATAGAGAAATAATCTTAAGAAAAAAATATAATGTATATTAAACAATGCTTGATAAACTTTTTTCCTAAATGTTGACCTTACAAAATGCAATAGTACCCCAAAAGCAATTTAATTGGAAAAATATTACAGAAATTTAAAAGTATCGAAAAAAGTGACATTCTTTGTTCAGATGTTAGGAGTTGGGGAGATATTGTTCTTTATATACAAATCCACTATAATAATGCTACTTGATATAGCTTGTCATCTTTTTGAGTAATACAAATGATTATTTTGTACAATTTCATTTTTAGATTTCTCCCAGCTCCAAATGAAACCTAAGTGTCAATGACTTCCAACCACTGACATTTAAAGGAAGATGCCATCTTGGAAACATACTATTAGAGGAAGAGACTGGATGACATATTTTGAAATGTTGTCTAACTATCTACCTATCAACTATTTATATATCCATCCATGTATTTATATGTTCTTTTGTTAGATAGATAGTGGACAGTTTTTATAGCTGTTTGTATAAAAGAATGGCTATATATATTTAAATATATATATCTTTTATTATTCTTTTTACACAAAGAAAATAGGAACAACTCCAGAGGTTAAAATTTATTCTATGCAAATAAAAACAGGCTTTCAGTCAAAAAGTCAGTTAAGCAACTGTTCTTAAGGACAATGTGCAATGTGCAATGTGCAATGCACTGTTTTGAATTCTAATGAAGAGTGCAAAAAAAATAAATAAATAAAACCCTATCAGGAAGATTCCATCAAGTTGTCTAAAAAAACATACATATATGAAAATCAATAAATATTTTTAAACTTTTTTACATAAAGTTGAAAGTAATATGGCATTATTGAGCCTTGTCAGAGACTTTATATACATTATAGTGAACGTACATCCTATATAACCTTGCTGAAGAGGTATAGAACTGTGTAATAGTGGTTAAAGGCATAAACTCTGGAGTTAAAATGTCTGATTTCAAATACCAGTTCTTCCATTTACCAGCCAAGAAATTGGATACATTACGTAAGCTCTCTAAACTCATTACCTTTCTGGAAGTATAAGAAAAATAATATGAACTCTATCTTAGAAAGCTATTTTGGGTTTTGCATAAAATAAACAGCATTCAAAATGGTACTAACACAGAACATTTACATGTTCTCAATGAATGTTGGTTATTATTATCATTACAAAAACTGAGAAAAATTGAAAGGTAGTTTAGCAGTTTGAGGATCAAATGAAGGTCAGACTCCAAGAGCTGTTTCTTAAAAAAAATTCATTGCCTTAGAAACATTTGAAAGTGTGTGCTGAAAAAGAAAGTAACTACCTATGCCAACCTTGATCACTAGAGAAAACTTGTTCACGTGTTTTGAAACAATATTATAAGAAGTAAAACCAAATTCATGAAGAAAAGTAGTATAAATAATTCATAAAATCAAAATACTAAAAGACTGCAATAGGTTTTTTAGGAAAAGGTGTGGAGTACTGTGAATATTTTGCAGATTCAAGTATGCAGTAGCAGTATGCAGATGAATTGGCAGTCTAGAGACTGGAAATCAAGTAAGAGTCTATTACCTAAGTTCTGACAAATGATGAAAGGCTGATGGTGAAGAGACAGGTGCTGCACAGTCAGAAGATTGTCAGTAATTAAGAGTAAGGATTTTAGGGTAAGGATGGGTTAGGGCAGCCCTGGGAATGTTTGTCCATATCATGGCTACACAGTGATACCATGAACTTGTGGAGAGGACATGGGAAGATGCAGGTTCACTGGAGAAATTCACAAACTGAAGATGGACATATTGTCATGACCTACTGAGGCCCTATCCATAGGAGATCTTTAGCAAGCCTTTGAAATGCACTAGTTGAGTTAGTTGTTAATTGGGAAAGCAATCTATAAAAGCAAACATTAAATTCTTAAGCATGAAAATGGCCACATGGGGGAAAACGTTAAAAGAATCCAGCCACAGATAGACTCTTAGGAAATATTGGCAGGAAGAAGATGGGAAATGTTAGTCAAGGCAGGAGAATGAAAAGCATGTGATGTTTTGAAAGCCAAAAGAAAAGCACATCTTTAAAATGGATGATGAATCAGGGCACATAAGGGTAGAAGAGAGTCAAGTAGGACAAGAGCTGAGAAAGGTCTTCTGTTCTCCATCCTGTCCTAGAAGAGGCCAGATTTGGTAGAACTTGATCACACTTAACAGGACAAAGGAGGAGTATGTAGCGTGCAGGGCAAAATAATGAGTTCAAGTGATTCTTTCAAGTTTGACAAAGAAAAGAGGAAAAGAACAGGTAGGGTTTGACCAGAGGCAGCGTGTTCTTCTAGAACAAGGGTGAGATATCAGTTTGATTTTGCCTTAGGGAAAGGAAACAGTCAAAAGAGAGCTACATGAAGTTTTGATTAAGAAAAGAGAACATATTGATCAGAATAAAGAGTCAGCAATGAATGGAGAGGAATTCAAAGCAAAGGTAGAAATGTTAGTCTTGAAGAAGAAGGACATAGCCTTTTTGTTGATAGCAAGAGGAAGAAAAGAACAAGGGAAGATAAAAATGTCAAACCATGTCCCAGCACTCTCGTAAGTGGTGATTCTTAGTCTTCCAAGGAGCTTGGAGGTAGAGCCAGTTGGCCCGAGCCCTTCTGTAGCTTCTTCTCTGCCTCTCAGCTCTGCAACCAGAAGTGAGGGTGCTGTATGAGCAAAAGTCTTTCTGCCAGTAACAAGGAATGACTACAGAGGTACTCACATTGTCTTGTCGCATTTTCTTTTTATAAAATATAAACGTGTGTGTGCTGTATATAGATATTTGGGAAATCTGCAAAGCAGGATTTGTGGCTAACCCATTCCCTTATTGTCAGTCTCACGAGCAAATAGTATGCAGTAATATTGACAGATCTGAGCTAATTATCTACCTCATTAATAAATAGGAAATGTCTCTCATTCTTTTTAAGTGACATAAAATTGTGTGTATCTATAGAGTGTCATGTGATGTTTCCTATACATGTATATATTGTTTAATGTTCAGGGTAATCTGTATTTACTCAAAAACTTATTATTTCTTAGTTGTGGAAACATTCAAAGTACTTTCTTTTAGCTTTTTAAAAATATGTGCTAAGTTATTGTTACCTAATCTATGGTCATTCTTAATCTTAGAATGTAGTACCTATGCCATCTAAATTGTACACTCCCGTGATTATTTCACCAGTAGCCTTGTTAAATCCTTGAAATGGGGGTATGATGAAAATATTCTTTGTTCCACCATCTTCCAACACAATCTTAAAGAGTTGCCTTGTTTTTATTGGCTATTGCATTAGGAAACTGCTACTTGCTCAATCCTCGGTATCTTTGTCCGTTTCTGCTCACTAATAGAATCTCCTATTCACCAATGTGTCCCCTCCTTTCTTTACACTGTTTTTAGTAAGGGCCACCCTGGAATTAACTGATTCCTTCCTATTCTTGGAAGACCAGCTTCTTCTCTCAACCTCTTTCTGTACTGGTGTGGCTACAATATCAACTGAAACTGCAGTTACGCCTTAGCCACTAGTCCCATCTCCTCTTATCATAACATGTATTACCACTTCAGAAAACTTGTCTTATCCACATACAGGCACAACTAGCACCATTGATGATAGCAACCTTATGAAGGCTGAATCAATCACTGACTTCTCTGTTAATCTCAGAAAGGGTGAAGTAGGTGACCAATAAATATTGGTTGAGACGAATTTAAGACATACATGAAATTCATGAAGAGCTGGTTGGGAGAATTATCTAAACAACTGAAAAATCTTTTTATTTCACAATGAACAGAAATGTATTATTAGGAAAAATTATTACTTTTGTAGTAGAGAAGTTTTGACACATCAATACCATCTATCAATACAACAGTAGTTAACTGCACACAAATGGTCTACTTATGAAGGATGGAAGATTATTACAAGTAAGATTTCATAGCTTGCAGATTATCACAGTATATTAGTTTATAGATGTCAGTTGTGAAATCATGAGTATAGAAAACAGCTTGGAAGAAAAGACGCATTATAAATGATTAGCACAGTCAGTGTTACCAATTGTATGATAAAACTACAGTAGTCCCCTTATATCTGTAGAGATCTGTTCCAAGACCTCCATGATGCTTACAACCTCAGTGATACTAAACCGTACTGTTACTACTTTCTCCCTGCATATACATGCCTTCAGAAAAGTTTAATTTATAAATTAGGCATATTGAGAAATTAGTAACAGTAAATAATTAAAATAAAACAATACAATAATATAAAAATATTATTGTATTGTTATAATAATATATTATAATAAAAGTTGTATGAATATGGTTCATCTCTGTCTTGAAAGAATCAATATCCATCAACAGATGAATGAATAAAGAAAATCTGGCATTTATACACAAGGGAAGACTACTCTGCCATAAAGCAGGATAAATTTGAGGCATTTGTAGGGAAATGAATGCACTTCAAGACCATAATGTTAACTGAAATAAATCAGACATACACTAGATGTCACATGGTTTCTCTTACATGAGGAACTCAAAATATAAATAAAATGCAAAATAAAGGATAGATAATAGGAAGTAGGGAAATCTTTTTCAAATGGGAAGGAGAATAAGAGACAGAGGGTAGATAGGAAGAAAGAGAAAAAGAATTTTAAAAAGAGAATCAAAGAAAAATGAAAATAGAGTATTTTCAAATAGAAAGGGGATTATGAGTTGGAGGGACCAGGGAGAGATAGGAGTGGATGGGAACAAAAAGAATTAAAATGTGTTATGTACATGTACCAACTCCCCACAACAAACGTAATTATTATGTACTGCACAATGTGCACATTAATAAAATAAAGAAAACTAATATTAATATTTAAGATCATAGTTAATGGCAGGCTGTGGATAAGTGAGGGGCTACTGTTTCATGGGTTACAAACCAAAGACTGGTAAAAGGAAGGTGCTTATATTTGCCATTACTTCAAAACTCATCTGCCTACCATCTCATTTTTACAAATGAAATTGGAGAAGCAGGCCAATGATCTAACAATAACCACCTTCAAACATTACCATGATTACTCTCTTCCTAAATAAGCAATACACATTTCTCAGAAACAATTTCTCTGTCAGATATTATAGAAGGAATGTGTACACAAAGTTTGAACTCAGCTCTTGATTCAGATTTTTAAGCCTGCCTTATATTAGCTTAAATTCTGCAAACCCCAGGTTTGTTATCTGTAAAATGAGGGCAATACTAGAACTTATTACTGTAAGGACTAAAAGGCCCAGTGCACATGTGGCTCTGGCGGAGGCTGGCACATACCTCCTTGTCAACAATATTAGCTGTTGATATTGCTGCTGCTTCTAGTTTTGCTATCACAATTAGAAATCTAAGCCTGGCTCATGAATAACAAGTAGTTAATATTTTTGAACAGAAACCTCAGGAAATATACAAATCCAAAACTGAAAGTGGCTTTGTCTCAGAAATAATCAAAACAGTCATTAATCAAAAGGACTATAATCAGTGTGGACACTAGCTTATTATGATTCCTAATGACCAAAAACAGTTACAGTGTTGTAAATTTCCATGACTACAACTATTCTTGTGAAGACATTTCTGTGTATTCCACTGGTATTAAAGTTATTCATCTTTTTATAGTTGGTCATAAGAATCACAGTGACAGTTTTTTCCTCCTAAAGTGTCAATATTTAAGTACACATGACTTAGGTCAAGACCTGTCTCATATTGTGGTGCAATCATTTCTGTAACTGTTATAAAATGCCCATAGAACCTAAGGATCGTATTCTACCTTATAGATATTTCAATACATATAAACAAATATATATGGAATTTTCTATTTCAGTGGTAGCTGGTGTAAAGGTTGCAGTGGTTTAATAAAAAGAGGTTGTGTTTTAAACTAAAACTCCTCATCCATTTGAAAATCTTGTTTGACCACAAAATCTGTGACCTTGAGCAAGCCATCTAACTTCAGCTTCTTCCTGTGTAAAATGGAAATGTGATGCCCTCCTCACAGGGTCTTCACTAGAATTAAATGGACTTAGGTCATCTGCTCATTCCCACACCTCTCCCTGACTACTAAAACTTAGAGTGGCCTGGACCACCCTGCCAGTCTCTCTTTACATCTAAATCTCCATCTCCTACATTACCATACCCTTTACATGGCTTATGATGCCACATGTGGACTGATGACTATCAGCTTTTTATCACATCCTCTGAATTTTAGTCTCACTTACCTAGTTTCCGGTCCAACATTGCTACTTGGAAAACTAAGAGACACCTCAAGTTGACACACCCACGGAATCATTCTTTTCTTTTTCTTTTTGGTGCCTATTAATAGTATAGAAAATGTGATGCTTTATGCTATCTTGGTATAATCATATAACCTATTTTGATTATTTTCTTCCCTGTTACTCCTCTTTCCCTCTCCCCAAACCCCTCCTCGATCTCTGAAGACCTCCTCCTAGTTTCCACAAGAGGATTCTTGATCTCTCTCCATTCACTCATCTGTCTCTGGATGATCTGTCTTCCTGCAGATTCCACCATTTCAATTTATGGCATTTTAACACCAAGCAAGTTTTTCTTTAACAGAATTGACACATAAAAAATTGTGTATCATTAGAGTATACCAGGTGATGCTTCAATATGTGCTCAAATTAGGTTAAACTTCTGTATCTCTTCACCATTTAATCATTTCTCTGTAGTGAAATATTCAAAATCCTTTTCTAGCTTTCTTTTCAAATACAGAGTGCATTATCATTATCTATATTGACCGTACTGTGCAATGGAACAGCAGGATTTATTTCTCCTATCCAACTGTACCTTAGTCCCATTGATCAGCCTTTCTCCATCTCCCTCCCTCCCCTACTACTTTCTCCAGCCTATGGTAACCACTTTTCTACTGTTAGTTTTTCAGATTCTGTGTATGAGTAAGATCATGTGCTAGTTGTCTTTTTGTGTTGTACTAAAAACACCTCTCCACGTACACCCATTTCTTGCATGTTTAATGAATGTCAAGTAAATTGCTAGGTTTTGTCACAAGTATTTTCTTAGAGGTTGAACAAAGGGGACAAAAATTAAAACATACCCACTCTTGCTTTTGTGGGAGGCAAGAATAATGTGCACAGTTACTGACTCGAGACAAGAACTAAACTTAACTACTGTATTGAATGGTGAGACTATTCCAGGACTTTCTTCTTGGCCAGCAGCACAGGAGAGAAGAACAATGACCTTGACTGTTGGAAAGAATTCCACTTGTCCCTCCTCCCTAAACACTCCTTTGTGCTTTCACACAGACGCTACCCTGATTGTCAATGCCTCAACTTTGGATCGTGGTTTTTGTTTTCCTTCCCGGTTGCTGTTCTTATTCTATTGTTTTCCTGGATATGGCTTCAGTGGCTTTTCCTAGGATTCAAGTAAGTAAATACATTCATGTTTGTAGGATAAATGAAGGTCTCCAAATTCCAGGTTTTTAATTCTTTATCCAGTGCTTTTCTCCTTACACCATGCATGCAGCATTTGAAATTTTGTTTTTCTTGACCACCAGACAGACACACATGAACACAAATTCTTAAGATCAAGCTTGAATCTTAATTAAACAAGGTTGGCTATGGAAGTCAGTGTTTAAAAAGAAACCCATCCAGATGTCATTTGAATTTTAAGCCAATAAGATATAAAGTAGGAAGAGGGGCATAAGGAACTCACTATGATGAGCACACAGTCCACTGTGTGAAAGCGGAGTTTTTACAAGTTTGACCCTTTTACGTCATATAATGTTGGGATTTTCTTGGGTTATCGAGGTACTCTCATGCATGACATGCAAGTTTTCCTACTTTGTTCTAGCACCAAATTGATACCACCTTCATAATAAAAGATAAAATAAAGATCTGAGATTTTCTCTGTGGAAAGACTACTGGATTAGGTATCAAGACACCAAGAATATGATTGGGGCTTCTCACTGGCCAGATGAATGATCTTTGCAAGTCCTGACCTATTGTTACATATAGTGTCTTCATTGTAAAACAATAGAATTTACCCAAAAGATCACTATAATCACTTCCAACCCCAATTCCAGCACACCTGGATCCAAGTTGAACATATAGAAGCCAAAGTAAGAAACACAGGTCAATTAAGTGCTACTAATTCCAACAAAATGTCCAACGTGTTTTCAAAGGAGATTTCAAAGTATTACTCTGCCTAGGATTGAAGGTGGTGGTTCAGAAGCACCAATGAGTTATGAGGTTTAGGTAACAAACCAGTAGTGAATATTATAAAGAGCTCCACAGCAAAATCTAAAATGCTCTTTGCATTTTTCAGTTCATTTAATAATACTCCAATCAGTACACTTGATAATACTCCAAAAGAGAGTCGAAATAGCTATGTAGCAAATATTGAGGATTTTTCTTGAAAAATAAAATAATTCAAATTCATTTTTATACAGTTATATTTAAATAATTTCAAGGACCCATGAATAAAACAGCATATTATTCACCAAGCCAAGCTGAAGTCAGCGCTTTGTGTTTCTTTTGAAAAGCAAAACAGTATGGTCATGTGTGGGTCCCTGCCTGTTCTACATTTTCCAAGTTTTAGTAGCATAAAGACTGACCCTGTCCCCTCTTGATTCTCCTACCTGATTATTCTCCAGAACTGTCCAATTGTGTTGGTAGAGGAAAAATGGTGCTGATGATTAAAAAAATAATTCTATACAGATTGTGGGATCAGCGTGTGGCAGTTCTCCTGCTGGAGCAAATGTGTGGGATGTCACTGCCTTCGGCAGGTGGGCATTAGTGGGGAGAGGCCAACTGCATAACAAGTACCCCTCCCAGGAAATCTGAGCCTTTGGGGGCCTGTTCAGTGACACAGGTAGAAATGCCAGCTATGGGGAGTAGAATCCCGTCAGTGGAGAAGTATTCAGCCTCAGGCTCACAGTTGTTTCTGTTCTTTGTTGCTACATGTAACAACTTTATATAAAACATGTGCAATGACTGTTATTACTTTAAAACTGTCTACCACTTAGGAGAAATTAAGACGATAAAGGAAAGATGCATTAAAATATGTTCCATAGGAGGGAAAAATACTGTGAAGAGCATACATTATGCAAAGTGCATAAATCATGATCAGTGACATATTTCAACAGTTCCCTTGCTGTCCACTGATGGTTAGACACTGAACAGCTTCATGCTCCAGCTAATTTTTCAGTGTCCATTTCAGTCTGCCAGGGTGTTCACCTCCAGAGGTTTTAGATCGACAACTAGAAATTATCAGCCACTCCCCTGGCAGGGTACCATCCATTCTGATTAGTGTGTTGGCCATTAACACTGCTAGCTTGCCCATTATAAATGACCCCAACATACTTCAGAAGAGAAGCTCATCTATCAGTGCCACAGAACTTATTTAAATGGAGAGGCTGATGCATTGTCATATGCTTTGTCAGTTCCTTTGTAAAGGCATTAACCTTCCTTTGTAGCAATGTCAGTTTGTCTTTGACTTAACTGTTTACATACTGATCATATTGGGTGGAAGGAGAGTCTTATCTTTTTCTTTAGCAATACTTTTCTATAGATGGTTCTCAAGGTGGCCCATAGGTTAGATTCTTTTTTCTTTTAAAGAGTAACCGGTATTTATTGAGAGAAAGATAGCTTCTAAGAGAGATAGGAAGGGTCCAGTGGTGGGCCCAGTTTAGTTTCTTATAATAGTAGTATTTATGTTTTGTCAGGGGACAAAATTTTGAGACTGGAAAAATTACTAGTTAGGAATTCAATTGAGATTGCAAAATGTAATTATGGTCTCACTGATCATAAATTGAATAGTATCTAATTATTTGTTGAGATACATGCATGAGGGTAATTATGAATGTATATGATAGATGGCTTAAGAAGTAAGGAAATATACTCCTTCAAATGAAATACACCCTAACAAGGTTTCATAGCCAAGTTATAGGGGTAAATCAAAACAAAGAAACAAACAAACAAAAATAAAAAAGAATAATCAAACCACAAAGTGTTTCTTTCTGAGATACCTACCATCTCACTATTCCACTCTTCCTTCTTACTCTCTTCTATACATGCATGTTTATCCCTGCAGTTTTACAAGACAAAATGTCCCTGGTTTCTATGTCTACACATAATGTAAACTGAACCACTCTGAATATTTCAAAAGATAATCTCTAAGAATCTAGCCATTTCTCCATTTTTTCCTGTCTCTGGAGGGTTTTTCTTTTTAATCTACATCTAGAGAAGCAACACACACACACACACACACACACACACACACAATTATTCAAGGTTTTAAAAACCCTGGACTTCAGAAGAGAAATATTAGTCACAGTGAAAAGAGTCATGAGAACAAGCAGCTAAAAGCTATAAAGAGAGGCACTTACTATTGGAAATAAACTAGAAGATATCGGGTGCTATTAGGACATAGGGTTAAAGAAACTTAGAGGAAAACATCATTTAATAAAGTTGGTTTTAAAGAATGGACCTTGTTTGGATTCTGACCAATATCAATATATGTGAATTCCCTGCCCCAGTGTATAATTTAAGCTAACTATCTTTGTGAAATGTAATGAATCTGATAGGAACTATCTTGTAAATTTGCCAAAGGCACTACTGAGTTGGTGAATTAACTATTTACTGTGCATACTAGTGTTAAGAGACAACAGGCCAAAGAAAACATCTATGATATTGTTACTGTCTTTTCCTCAGTTCATCTAACTACTGTGATAATACTTATATATGTGCAACAATTAGCAGCCAACATGCATAATAAATTTATTTTTAAATAATATGATAAAGTATGTAATAAAGTGTTAAATAGAGACAAGTGGTACATAGCAAATGCCAGTGGTACAAAAAGTATTTGGAAACAAACAGTAGATGTCATGGAAAATATACAACAATTAAGCACTGAAAAGTGAACAAAGCAGGCAAAGCAGAAGAGAAGTTAGAGAACATTCAAAGAAGGAAGGAGAAGTAAAAGCAGAATGCAGAGATATTTGGTTATTAGCAGGGAGATTCATATTTTATGAAGTTTTTATAAAATATCTTTCATCAAAGGGAGTAGTGATGGAATGTCCTTTGCTTAACAGACATAATTTTTTTTCAGTTTTAAGGAGATGTTCAAATGTGGCAAAAGCAAAACAGCTAGAGAAAAAGCTTGTGCTGCAGTGATTATGCAAGAATACCAAAAACTTGGGCCAATGAGGTAAAGTATGCATGTGTGTGGTGTGTGTGTACTCACATACACATACATCACACGCACACACACACTCAACCACTCCACAGATACTATATGTGCTTTAAGTAGTTGCTTAAAAGCCTATAAGCACATAACTGTCTTCAAGATATTTGTAACACTTAATTAGGGCTCTAAATTTGCTAAGCTTCGTGAATATAATTCAACTTGACAAGATATCTACTACTACCTAATTAAATTTGCCAGGTAGAATGTCAATACACTGTGAACCCCCCAGAAAGAAAGAAAGGCTTCCCAACTGCACTGATGTTCTCAAATTATTGACACATCCAGTACTTTTTTTTTCTTTTTGGCCTTTTCAATTTTTATTTTATTTTATTTTTTAAACTTTTATTTATTAAGTTATTTGGTACATGTTAGGCATGCATTATGATCACATTCATCATTGGGAATTTATACCTGTACATGATATATCTTGTTTTTTCTTTTTTTCCTATTCCCCTTCTCTCCTTTCCACCCACTCACCTCTCCTATTTATAAAAGTTCTGTTTCTGTTTTTTTCTTCTTTTCTCATATTTTTTTCTTTCCCTTCTTTCCTTTCCCAACCCCCTCCCTACTTCTCCTTTCCCTTTTAACTTTTTCTTCCTATTTCACATTATCTATTATACATTATACTGCAAAGCTGCTGTGATAAAAACAGCGTGGTACTGGCAAATAAACAGACCCAAGGATTAGTGGAACAGATCAGAAGATGCGGAAACAACTCCAGACACACTCAGCCATCACATTTTTGACAAAGGACTCAAACACCCTTACTGGAGGAAAGATAGCCTCTTTAATAAATGGTGCTGGAAAAGCTGGGCTTCAACTTGCCAAAGATTAAAACTAGAACTATATCTCTCACCATGAACTTAACTAACATCAAAATGAACTTAACTAAAATCAAAGTTCTAAATATTAAAACAAACACTAACCCTCCTAGAAAATAGGTTGGGTGGAACTCTTGAACACATTGGCATAGGAAAAAAATGCTATGGACATATCCAGTTCTTACAGTGTCTGGTACTCTACTAAGATTACTAGACAATAGCTCAGAGAGTTTCTACAAATATCCTGATAGAAAATGAATGACAGCATAGGAATTTCTCCACAGGTATCAAGAAACCATGACTTTGGTCCTCTTCATTATAATGGCCCTGCTATGGTTCAGCCGAGATCCAGGATTTGTTCCTGGTTGGTCAGAACTTTTTAGACAGTAAGTATTACGTGATATGCTTGTCCAACCTTCTTGTTTTATACTCTGCTTCTCTCCTTTGCTGTTCTGCAACTTTGAAAGTTCATAAAAAGATTTTCTTCTTTCTTATATAAATGTTTATTATGTGAAATAAATGCCACTCAACATTTCTTAATAGTCAGACAAATTCACATTCTGTGCTTTTTACCAATTTAAGGTTTAGTTTGTACTTCTATGGAGGACTATTTATTGGGCAAAATATCTTGTCTTTTGGAACATTTTTGTGCTAATTCACTACAAATTCTACCTAGGCTCCTTTTCATACATAAAGAATTCCTGAATAAGTAATAAGACCGATTTTTAAAACTAATGCTAGAAACCAGTCAGAACTAATTATATCTCTCAAGGTCTTTATACCAACAGTCATTGCTGAGTCATGTGAAGTGAGGGGGAAGATTGTAGCAAAATTTCCTAAATTAGAAGCCATCCTACACATCAATACAAGTAATTTGGTTTTGAAATTTGTGTTCCCAATCTATCTTTCACCAAAATACTCTAATTCCTAAATTCAGCAGATTTATGGCTTGGACTTGCTGTCTTACACTCTCCAGTAAAAATTCACACAGTCTGAGGGCAGAAACAAAATTGTTTGAGTCAGATGTATTCTAGCTATGTGGAATAAGGAAACTCCTCCCTTTCTGAATCAGAGCCTTCTGGTTTTGCAGGCCTTGACAGTATTTTTCAAATGTGCAAACTTGAATCCAAATTTCTAAGTCAAGCAATGCAAGGTGGTAGCAAGTTTTAGAAGATCAGCTTCAGCTTTAAAATCATTTTTGTGTCCCTTTGGATTAAAACTTTTCATTTTGAGATGTCTAACCCTCCAAAAATCATCTAATTCAAGGCAAGTTATTGTTTAATAGTTGATTAGCCTTTTGTGGTTTCATAATAGGATCTAGAGTAACATAAAAAAGTAATTCTCACTTTAAAAATCGAAATCCTACCATCCTAGGTAAGGAAAATCTTTCTCTAAACACTAGTGTGTAAGAGCTAAATGAAATCAGACAATAGCTAATCAAATCAGACAAAAATCCCAAAAGGAAATTTAACGTAATCGACTTCAAAGTTTTATTCCTCATGGGAAGATTATGTAATTCAGGAGCTGTTTTGTTTGTGGGAAACCAGTGTATTTGCTATGGGCAAGTGCTTTTGTCACCTAGCAATCTGAGAGGAAACAGTAGCAAAAGGAACAAAGATTTGACGATGGGACTTGAAGATAGAAATCTAATGACAAATCAAAAGCAAATAACATTTGTTTAAGCTTAATATTTTATAAAACTGAGACCACCTAATTGATAAAGAACTAAGAGATGGAGAGAGGGGAGGGAAAGGGGTTAGAAAAAGAATCAACATGTTGTGTACATGTACCAACTCATAACGACAAATGTAATCATATGTACTAAAAACATGTACCAATAGAACTAATACATTTTAAAGTGTTTTGAAAATATCCAATATTTATACCTTAATTTTATTTAATATATATACAGTCTATAGAACACATTTGTTGTGTAGAAGTTTTAGGCATTCAAAATTTCTAAAGTTAGCCTGATATATTAAGATTAATAGTTACCACCTGTTTTCATCCCATCTGTTTGAACCTGGACTGAATTCAATATGCCTTTTTGTATTAAAAAAATCCAGTTATATAATGCCTGGCCTAATTTGGCAAAAATTCAACCAAAAACTATAACTAAAATAAAGAATGAGGAAACAATACACTGATAAGTATTTTTCGAGTTTACAGAATAAAATATGCCACGATTGGGTTTTACTCAACAAAGAAAAAAATAATTCTCTATTTAGGAAAGTAGGCTTCTTTAAAAATTTGTGAAACTGAGAAATACAATGAATTTTCTTGATTAGTTAGGTTTTCCAGATAAATTATGCGTTGAGCACCTTCTGTAGCATATAAACTTTACTGAGTTTCAAAATAGAAAAATAATCCTTATGGAGTATGTATTTCTTCTCAGGTGATGAAAAATATACTTAGTTAATATTGCAGGCTTCTAAAACTGTAATCTTATTATTTATGCCTATTTTATTTATATCTTGTCTCCAGTTGCTTCTTAACTGTTGAAGCTTCTGGAAACCTACCTTACTTGTTGGAATGGCCCGGTGACTCTAAGACCCCATCTGTCCCTGAATCACTCTTAATTTGTACAGTGATAATTTATAAACATCTCATAACACATTCCATTAATTAATATTGGATTGTGTTTCATAGAGTACAAACCATTAAATGGGTTAATTTCATTTGTATAATATGCCTAGGACCTATAACTGCAGAAGCAGGTGTTAAATCTTAGAAAATAAATCAGTTATTTTTTGCAACTTATGAAACAGTTTGAGAAGACTCTAGCAACATAAGGCCTTCCCACAATTCAATAAAATGCTATAAATCAATTATATGGGGCTTTATCTGGTATAGCAATTGTTTCAAACTCAGTTCTTTCCAATAGAATTAAAGAAATAATTCAAAGAAGAAACTGATTAATATATCTGCCAGCTTACCTAAAAGAAAAATTTGCCTTCATGGCCTACTAAGTTAATGTCTCTACATGTATATTGAAAATAAGGAGAAATACATGAAAATAATGGGAATATGATCTGAGATGATCAATTCTAGTAAGTTATGTCATTTACTGGAAATCTATGTATTTTAGAGCAGATTATCCATAATTAATAACTTTTACCTCTATTACTAAAGTACACATAGTACAAGTGGAATCAATCCATTTAATGCTATGTACTCTATGAAATTAATTAAATGTTATTAGCATAATCAATGAATGTTTTTGCTTATGTAAGTTCTTAATGCCATTTTTTAATGTACATCTTTTTTTCAGGTACTCTGGTTTTGTAACAGATTCAACTGTTGCCTTAATTATAGGACTCCTTTTCTTCCTGATCCCAGCAAAGACGCTGACTAAAACTACATCTACAGGGGAAATTGGTTGAGTATCACTTATAGCTGATCAAATTTGACAGAAAAGCAAAAAACATGAAATGTCATCACTTTCCGTTAGCATTTAGAAGGAATAGCTTTGCTGACACAACCCTTTGCTTAGTAGGCCATATTTGTACACTGTACCCATTATTCATTCAGCACCTGTCCTCCACCCATAGGAGGAGTCATCTGGCTTTGCCGAAGGGAGGAGATTTCCTTATGCATTATAGATAGGAACCTACTACAAGTGTTACTATTTGACCTATGATAAACCCACTCCCACTGCCATAAGTAGAATTAATCTTACTGAAAAACCAAAACAAGAACTTGAAAAATCACTATTTCCTGATGAGGCCTTGTAGTATATGCTAAGGATATACAAATGGTGATGTGAATTTCATGAGAAAGAGCATTTACAGCCTCAGAGTAGTCTTGGAAGAAAAGCAAATCAGTCCCACGTAGTCATAACCTACGGTCATGATAGAAAAATGGTGTTCAGTGGGAATATTCATTGTATTTACAATTTGTGGACAAAGAAGCATGCATACTTGCATGAGCATACACCTCCCACGTACACATGTTCTTAATCATAGGCTCCATTCATGTATATGTTTACAGTAGCCCAGCATGTTGTCAGTAGTCAGATTCCTAATTGCCAATGTGGGACAAAAGATTTATAGTAGTTTGGAAATAGACTAGTAAGAACAGAGCTGTGAAACTGTTTAAAAGCTGTGATGTGTATAGGACTCGTGCAGTTGGGTTAGCTCACCTTGCTCGAGTCACCGTCCATCAGTGACTAATATCTCAGATTTTCAAGGCATGATACGTATGAACAGCATAATATAAAAATAAATGTCTTTTATTCTTGAGATTGCAAGGTCTCATTGTGTGTTAAAGAAATATTGCAATATTTAGCACTGATTTTTATGAGACCCTGAAAACTAAACATTGCATCAAAACCCTTTGTGGGAACCAATGATTGGCTTCAGCTTCCCAGATTCCTACATCTGAATCTCTGCCTCAGAAAGAGTCTTAGTCCTATCCACCTTCCTACCCTCTGTCTTTAATGCTTTCCTCCCTGATAAACTTGTTCATATTGTGTTTAAAAATGACAAATGTGACATAACATGTTAAATTTTCAGTAGGAGGTACATTTCAGAAATATTTGTGCTTTGACAGGATATATAGTCTTAATCCAATTAAGAAACATTGTAGTAAAATTTTAATCATTTGCAAAGGTAGTTTTGAGAGTATTTGAGGGGAGTTGATTTGGGAGAAGGAGGTAGAAAGGAGGATTATTAATATATTATAATCTCTCTAAGTAGATGTTATAAATGTTAGATGGGAATAATGTGCTCATAAATGCATTTACTTGTCAACAAATCAATGGAAAGATCAGAACCCAAATATCTAGAGACATCTTTATAATAATTGCTTCATGAGCATTATTATTCTCAAAAATGATATTTTAATCTTTTAATCTGAACTTTTGAATTACCTTTAACTAGAATCCTGATAGATCTGTTATGATTCCCTTTATGATTTAAAAATAATAAAATATTCAAATAAATATTAATAAATAATAATTAAAATCATGCACTGATGCTACTGGAATCAATGTCATATTACAAACACTACTTAATAAAGGAATATGAAGTTCAGTGCACTGTGTTACTCAAGTAAGTGCAATGGAATTAATGAATGAATCGCATTATAAATGATGTTATAACTTACGTAAAATAAATTTCAAAATATCCAAACTATTTTCCAAGTCATAATTATTTTCTTTTTTATAATATAATGTTCCACTTAGGCTAAGTGGAAATTACTCAAAGTCCAGATCAAATCTCCTCTTTAGAAACAATGTAGGAATCTTGCAAACTTTCTGTGAGGTAACTTGTGATCCTAATTTTTTAAAATTAACATGTCATACTGTAATGTTTTAAGCAATGTTTAACTGTAGGACTTTTGTTTCACAGTTACTTTTGATTACTCTCCACTGATTACTTGGAAAGAATTCCAGTCATTCATGCCCTGGGATATAGCTATTCTTGTTGGCGGAGGGTTTGCTCTGGCAGATGGCTGTGAGGTAATACTCTGTGTGTAGGTTAGTTAACAGTTAACTAGACGGTTAAAAAGAAAAACACAGAGACATTCAGTCTTCTGGCATATTCCAATTTATTCTATTAAATAATGCAGATTTCAATAGCTATGCTGTGAACATACTACATAGATGAGGTGAATTTAGAGTTCAAGAAGTTTTCCAAGTGGCAAGCAACAAGCATAATTTTTTATGGTGTTTAAAGGTATCAAAAGAAATAATGTGAAGGAGATTAAAATTGTTAGTCCACTAAATAGTGTTAGAAGACTAACATAGTAGGAAAAATTTTACATAAAAATAATATGTAAAGTAACTCCTCATGAAACATATTTCTTGTTTGTTTGTTTGTTTATACCTTTACCTTAGTTCATGATGAATTTGAGTGGCATTTGAATTTCAATATATTGTGGTCCTATTGTTTTCAGAAGAGGATGAGAAATAATATTAGCATTAAATGTACTTAATAAGTTCTTGTTGAATGAAGTCTGGGGAGAATTTCATACAACCATGTCTGATACCATGTCCATCCTTAAGAAGATATTAAAAAAACAGCATGAAGAATGCAGTTGGCTATTTTTTGATCTTTACATCCAGTTGATACAATACAGCAGTCTGGGGAAGCCCTTGTCCCTTATAATTGGCCTCCTCACTGTGTAGTGGTTGGAAGAAAAGTACCTGAAAGAATTCCATAAACATCCTATACTTTTAGGCTAGTTAAAAACCAGCTGCTTCTTGATTTCATACACTCTTATGAAGCACTCAAAGATTATGACTGTTCCATCTCCTTACTCATTCATCAAGTTGAAGAGAATGGTGAGAGAAGTGTTGTGTCAAATCCTTTGCAAGGGGTTAAGTTTTTATACTTTTCAATATAAATATCTTCTCTCCTCTTCTTGGTAACCTATTGGGAGACTTCACTTCTAAGTTTATTGCCAATTTTCTGCATAGCATTTAGATACTGAGCTTTCAGCAAGAGGATTTTGTAATAGCTGAAAGTCTTGGAAATTGACTCAATTCTGAGTGCCTTTTACAAAATTGTTTTAGGTATGGATTTTGCTTGCCTCATTACCTGCCCATAGAAATACATGACATTTATACTTTCCTTTCCTACTACTGTACTTCAGCAGTAATAAGATGTGAATTAGACTAAATAACTTCCATTTGTGTGTCTACTAGTTTGTACTGTAAGGAAGTCAGAACCAAAATATCTGGCATTGATAGGAATTTTGTTCATTTCTCCTCCTGCAGAATGAGTAGACTGGACCCTAGACACTCAAAATGCCTTTGAAAACATCCACCAGACCCTAGAGCAGCAAAATCTGAGTAAATTAAAAGATGTGAACCAATCTGATGTACTAGATTCTCTCAGTGGAACAATTAGGTACACCATTGATGTAGGTCTAGTTTGTCAAAAAAATTCTATTATTCAGAATCAGATATCTTGAAGAATACTCACAGTAACCCTACTCCTAAGTGGCCAGCATTAAATCATGAACTTCAAAAACTATGGCTCTAGGCAAATGTGCCCACAGAAAATGTTTTTACAAAAGATTTTGAAACAGTTTATTTTTAAAACTTTTGCTTTTATTTTAATTAGCCTGACAAATTGTCCAGAATCAGATAACACTTCTAGTTGAGAACAGTAAGATAGCAGTACCTATAGTATTTACCTCATTGCGACTGCCTCTATCTTAAAAAGTCCTTGCCTTGCTTTAACATGGTAGAGCTTTTGCAAGCTGGTAGTCACATTTATATTCTTGTCAGTGAGTAACTGTTCCTCTTCTCTTTTCTCACATTCCTCGAAATTTTTGTCCTGAAGTAAACATGGAAGATTAAACATTTTTCTTATATCTCCACTAAATTGCAAGAACTAAAAAGTGTCAGTCTGCAAATTTAAAAACACAAAACTGTATGATAGGGTCAATAACAAGAAGATGTTGAAAAATTTTGAAGTGGAAGGAGGATATTTGAGAGGTAACTGACTTTGTACAGAAATAATGAGTGAAGAAAGAAGTAGGCTGGCAGATGGACAAGCCAATGAGAAACAAGGCAATTTATCTACAAGATCCTGGTATTGGAGGCAGCAGATTGTGCTGAAAGCAGGTGGGAAAGCCAGAGCTAAATAATGGAGAGTGGTTTAAAAAGTGCAGGTGTACTGTGGGCCCCCCAGAAGCTTTCCCCACCCCACAGTAGACTCTTTTCCCGGGTTTAAAAAAAGGTGAAGTTTACCAATGAGATCCTGGCTCATGGCTCAGTCCCATATAATGAAATCTACACTTCAACAACATTTGCTTAGCACAAAGAGCTTCCAATCATCATTTTGTTGTCTCTTTAATACTCAAGAATCCCCAGAAAGTTGGAGAAGATACTAATACAAAAAAGAGAGACAAAAAATAAACACAAAAACAAAAGAGGGCAGAAAAAAAGTGAGGAAAACACACGAAGACACATGAGTCAAGAGAAAACTTTAAAAAATTGTCATTGATGCCTTAAATTGATATTAAAAATATTAAGGACATAAAACTAAAATAGACTGGAATAGCACAAAAATGACATGGTGAATTTATATATATTT